CCTGAAAGTCCAAAAATTAAATAAGCGCCATGGGCGCTTAACCGAATAAATACGGTACGTCCTAATATTAGTGTTCCTTTAAGCTTGCACTTTTTCTCGTGATGAACCAGGAATATAAACGGCACCAAGGAATTCTACGGCGGAGTTAATGCTGTTAATGGTGTACTATATATAAAGTGGGCTGGGGAATTCCGCCTCCAGCCCATCCAAAGAAAAAAACGTCAAAGGCGACAGTAGGATGTCGTCTTTTTGATTGGCCCCCCACATGAGTACGTGTTTAAGGCATACCACTCTCCCCATATAAAGTCCCACTAAGCCCTTCCCCCATCTCAGAAAAATTTGAACGGTGCCCTAATTCTCAGTTCATTTTATCATGAATATTTACATACCAGTTCCCGCCTCTTCCAGCTGCCTTGTGATGTCCACTGTTTCGCCGAATATGTCGTACCGAGGCTTCTTCAGACCCACCACTCCTGCAACACAGGGTCCTGGAAAGAAAGAGAGTGACGGAGACGCCATGATTGTTGCTTTTTCTTATGATGCACAATGGTTCAGAGCGGAAAAACGTAATAAGGATGCGCGATGTTTGGCCAGGCACCAGGCTATACAAGAAATTTCGGTGCGAAGACACATTTTTTCCACAAATCCTCTTCACATATTGCGTCCATATAAGCACTCCACTGAATTTATAAGCAACAGAGCCTCTCAGCAGGCAGGGGGAGTCTTGTTCTCTTGTATAAATAAATCAACCCAGCGACATATTCGCGTTCCTTTTCACAGTCCGCCGTTCTTTCTATCATTGCAGCGACCACAGCAGTCCGCATTATTACCTGAGCCCGAAAGTAGGTCTACGGATGCGTAGAACGCTGCGCGGTATGTTTATCCGCTCTGGCGGAAGCACAATGGTGCAATCCACTGCAGTCTCTTCCCCAAATTCTTTTTGGGAGCGCGTTTTTGTCCCCTAGTTTAGCTTAGCGATAAACCGCACAGGATAGTTGCAAGTATATGGGGCAAACGTATGCATGGTTTACAAGCCCCAGCTTGGTTATTTCAGAGGGTGTTTTACATTTAACTTTGTTATTAACACCAGGTCGGTAATGAAATGAATATATTCAAGAGTTCTTCCACTGCTCCTTTATCATCTCAAATAGGCTACTTTCGATATTTTGGAATTCAGATTTTTAGCCTCGTGGTCTAGAGCACACGCTCATTCTATTTCCTTTGAATGTGTCCTCTAGGCCTCGCTACTAAACTGAATCTTTAATATATTACAAAAAATCTACCATTGTGAGATTTCCTGAGCACGAGACATCAATTTGGATGTCCATAAAAAAACATCGTTAAAAATGTCCCAATCTGAACGCACAGAAGCGATCCATTAAACTAGTTGAAGTCACCACACTTACCAGTATGAATTCCAATCCTGAACTGCAGCGTTCTTTCCTGCATGTGGCTGATTTTAAATTCCTTAAGATACGTGACAAGGCGTAAGGACATGCTGGCTATCTCACCAGCGTGTTTATTCCCGTTCCTCTCCGGAAGACCAGACACAACGAGGTAGGAATCGCTACTTGTTTCAACCTATACAAAGACAGAAATGTTACTTAAGTGGGCTTGGCAGACAGAGACACAGATAGAGAGAAAGAGAGACAGACAACAGACAGACCGGTGGGTGGAGGAACTGCTAGGTAGACAGTTATAGGTCAAAAGTAGAGACACGAAGTCTAAATCTGAGTCGAAAACTCCAGAAACTAAATATTCATTTTGATTGAAACAAAGATTGACTTGAGATTTCTTTACCTTGTAAACATCATATCGCGTCATGACTGTGTCATATAAGGAGTGTAGGTCGTTAAGTAGGTTTATTACCTAAAAAAAAATCAATCAATCAATCAATCAATCGAGAAAGCAAGCACAGCCAGTCACTTAGGCTCTTAGTCAGTCAGTCAGTTAGTCTGTTAGTGAGTTAGTTAGTTGGTCTGTCAGATATCCGTTGAAAATTATTCAATATATGCAGAGAAGATGTAAGAGATTCCTTGGAGCCATCGAGTATTAAAGTGGTGTCATCTGCATACTGACTAATTTTTATTTCATTTCCATTCACAAAGATGCNAATTCCAAAGTAAGACAAAACATTTTGTTATATACTGAATTAACTAAAAGGAGAACCAAGTTCATCTGTATGCAAATTATAGAACGTCTTAACTAACCTGTATTGGTGAACTAAGTAACGTTATGTTGGAGAATTCCACGATATCACTGTAAAATATGGTGACACTATCGTAATGCTCTGCTTTCACTTCAAGTCCTGCTTTAAGATGGTCTGCAATGCTCCTGCGTCAAACGAAACGTAAATAGAACTGAATCTTACTCTAAGAAGCAGGCTTCTTTCTCTTTATACTGAGTAAACCAGAGACTGACTTCGTTAACATGTGCCATCATTTATCTTAATGCAGTAAACAATTTACGAAACTGAAAGTTATGACAAGAAAACAATTGGTATCTTTTTTAATTTTTCGCGAAAATCTAATTATTATTATTATTTTTTTTGCTCGAAAAGGTCGTTTTATGATGGTTCAGTCTCCCGTTGATAGAAACGACTCAAAATAGCAATATTTTACCTTGGAAGCATCTTGTGAAGAAGTTCATCAGTTTTGTTTTTTTCGCTTTGCAGTTGTCTTGTTCGTTCATTTACAATAGTCTCCAGGTTGTTTGTGTATTTTTCCATCATGGAGAGCATGTTGTCTATTACACTAACGGTTCTGAAAGAAAAAAAAAGGAAAATTGAGAGAAAAATTCTAGAGAGTTATCAGCTAGCTTGCGTTGCAGACATAAATTATGCCGTACATGGCGCGGAGAGGTCATAATAGTAACTAAATTAAACTTACGTTCTCTGGCTAAAAGTATATAAAAACACAAGCTTTCGACTGTCTTAACTTCAATCTTCAACGGCCGGGTGGAGTGGCATAGAAGCGCTAGAAAACAATCAACAATACGGACAATAACTCTTTTCCACTTCCAGAACAATCTAGCATTCTTTTTTTTTTAAACAAATATTCTTAAGTTTACTCCATATTTTTATTCTATTGTATTTTGTCACACTATATTTTGGAATGTTTTAGCGCGTCTGTACCATTTCACCCGTTGAAGACCGTAGTTAAGACAGTCAAAAGCTTGTGCTTTTTATATACTTTTAGCCGGAGAACGTTTTATATTTTACCATGATTCGTCGTGGCTGCGGCCCTTCTATATTTTCATAAATTAAATTTGGTCAGCATTGGACAAAAATACTGGGTTTTTATTCGGGCTCCACTTTTTGTTTCGGTGCTGGGAAATTAACGGTTAGGCGTTACACTTCTCCTCTCGTTTTAACTTAGATTGGTTTAGAAGAACAAAAGTCCATGCCAGGAATTATGGTCAAAAACATTGACTTACTTTCCATGGTTGATTCTTTTAAGGATTTTCAGGATACCACTGAAGGTGGGCCTTCTTTCGGGGCTCTCATCCCAGCACATCTTCATGAGGTCCAAATATGGTGCTGGGGCACTGTCAGGAGGGACCTGGGGCCTGCAGTGTGGTTTAATCCCCTTCCGTACATAGAAGAGTATTTCTAAAACAAGGAAAATTCAAAGTTCCTTGTAAAGAGATAACATTAATAGTAAGACTTCTGCCTCAGACAATTGTCTGACCCCAGGTTAACAAGAAATAAAGCCAGACTTAACAGTCAAAAACTGCTGCTTTGAACTTCAAGTTATTTA